ATTTGAAAATAATTCCGGTAAGTAAATGTTTAAAGGGTCCCACCCCCTCATTCATAAATTTCGCTCATTTTTCGTCCTGGATCAATGTCTGCATTATCAGAAAATGCAGGCCTTCCGGCTCACTGACCCCCGTATAACATTCTTACCCAACGGACCAGCAGAATTACTGATCAACGATACCGCAACCTCCTCGTTAAACCAAAGTATCTCCTCTCCATTTCCTGTTATTCCCAATCGAAGCTCAGATAATTATAGGGGAATAACACAAACCCAAGCCTCGAAACTTTTATTAATTTAAATCAAGTACACATCCTACATCCACCGACGCAAAAAATATTTATATACACTTGAAGCAACCGCATCTTAGTGGTGGTCGGGCCCCCCAGTGGGGGCCCTGTGCACCTCGCTGGTCTGTATCCCCACGACGGCGGTTGGCGCCGCTGGCGTCGTCTGACTCGTCTGACTCGAGGTGTGGGGCTGCGCCGACGTCCCCACCGTCGAGGTGGTCGTCGTCGACGTCGTCACCTGACTCGTCGACGTCTGAGTCGTCGCCGACGGCCGCACGGCGGAGAACAGCTCAGTCAGGCGGACTGTGATGGTGTTTTGGGGGGCTGTCGCCGCCAAGGGCTCGCGCTGCGCCCCCTGCTGTTGGCTATTCCGAATGATAAACTGCTGGAAGTGGGCTTGTTGGAGGATCACAGGCAGCTCGTAATGGTGGAAAAAGTACAACATTGAGTGCTGAAATGACAATTTTTTGACACTTTATTTGTTTTTTTATTTTTTGACATTTGATTAAATCAAGGCGTTTTAGTTTAAATTGAATCGTTAATACAGGAAATTTTTTTACGGGAAATTATTCCAATTTTTGATTTTTTTAAATAAAAAAAGCAAATTATAGCTAAATAAACATTTAGACCAAATCCAAAAATTAGAGAAAAAATCTTGCGTGAGAACTACAGCTCAGAAAAATTTTAGATTTTTTGCAAAAATCACCAAAATAATAAAAATTGGAAATTTTAATTTAATTTGAAAAAATGGTCCATCATTTTTTCGCCTTCTAAACGTAAAATCACACGCTAAACAC